TAGCAGAGTTTTGCGAATTATGTTTTGGTTCAGTGGTGCCTTGATGTTTTGATGCTATGATTTTCCTGGTGAATTACCATGAGTGTAACTGTGATTCCTATGTGATTAAATGAATGTATGATGAATTACTATGAGTATAACTGTGATTCCTATGTGATTAATACATGATCGTATGATGAGTACCCATGAGTATAATTGTGATTCTTATGAGATTAATACATGATTGCATAATGAATTCCCTTGAGGAACTGTGATGATTTGTGACGTTGATTCCATGAGGTTTTGATGATTCTATGATGAAGTGATTCTTATGATTATTTTGATGAATGGTGATGCACCTAATGAGATTATTATGAGGATGATATTGACGTGCGTATCATGCATTCATATGCATTCCGGACTTCGGTCTAGGACATTGATTCTTGTGGCTTCAGTCCCATTGCGCGGATGTGAGGTATTTTATTGTGCTCCGATTCTCGTGTAGAATCGATCCTACTGTTGTGGATCTATGGAGGGTTAATGGCCCATTGTCCATCGAATTTTGTTGATTGGTACCACATGCATGAGTCTTGTTGCATTTGCATTTACGTGACAATTTGGTGTAATTTATAATGTTGCGGCCTTTAATGTTCCTTGATGACTATGATGATGCTGAATATGAAAATGACGTTGTTTTATATATTGATTCTTATATTGATTATTATGAACCGTTTTACTCACCCTGCCTGTTTGAATGTTGCATCCACGTGGGTAACGTACAGATGACCAGGTTTAGTCGTGGATGTCGTCGAGGACTTTTTGAAGTTTTTAGGTCGTTGGCCATTATGGTTGACTTAGAGGGTCTTGGTCTGATAGTGTAACATCGGGTTGGGGTCTTTTGAGTTGAACCATTTTTTATTGATTATTGTTATTTTGATTAAGTTTATGCGTAAGGAAAACTTTGGATTTTGCCTTTTTGAGTTCCGCTTCCTTTTGAGCAATTGTTTAGTCATTTTGGGAAAACCCGTTGTTTACGGAGCATTGACCATATTTGAATTGAGAAATGTGCGCCCTTTTGAGATGATTTTATTGCGTTCAATATTTTACTTTGATAAATATGATTGATTTGCCATTATATTTGTGGGGTAGAAAAGGGTGTTACATATGACAAGTCTCAACTTAGGTGACGATGAACCCTCAACAAATATTTTTTATAATCCATACTTGTCAACAGAAGGAGTATTAAAAGAGGGAGACAACTTTCGTACAAAAGAAGATTGTGTCCGAGCAATAAAACAATATCACACGGACTTATCAGCAGATTATATAGTCGATCGAACAAATCCGACTTTGCATAAGATCTATTTCCATAACAAGGTGTGCCCGTTTCGATTAACAACGTCTTTCTGTAAGAGAAGTGATTCATGAAAGATAGGGTCAATGAGTCCAGAACACACTTGTATAATCACGAATCCAATGCAGGATCATCGCAAGCTCAGCTCTCAATTGATTTGCGATGAAATTCCGTCGGTCATTAGCGACAACCCTTCTTTGAAGGTGAATACCATAATTTTGCATATGGTTCAAAGATATAATTACACTCCTTCATACAGGAAAGCATGGATATCTAGGACTAAGGCGATTGAAATAGTGTTTGGAAATTGGGAGGAGTCTTACAAAGAACTTCCAAAATACTCGGTGGCACTTAAACAATATTCTCCAGGGACTGTTGCCATCTTGGAGACATTGTCGACGTATACACCAAACGGAACTTGCGTTAGTGGAAATGACATTTTTCACAGACTCTTATGGGTGTTTGAACCATGTATTAAAGGTTTTGCTTACTGTAAACCTAGTATTCAAGTTGATGGCACATAGTTGTACGGGAAATATAAGGGCACGCTACTCATGGCTGTGGCACAGGATGTGAACAACAACATTTTTCCAATAGCATTCACTCTAGTTGAAGGGGAGACTGCTAGGGGTTGGAGTTTTTTCCTAAAAAATATCCGCTTATACGTTTCTCCCCAACCTAACTTATGTTTGATCTCTGATAGACACCCATCAATCGGGAGTGCATACAAGAATCTTGATAACGGTTGGCAGGATCCTCCCTCAAACCATGTGTATTGCATAAGACACATCGCCCAAAATTTTATGCGGGAAACCAAAGACAAAACGCTAAGGAAGAAGGTTGTGAACACAGGGTATGCACTAACCGAGCCCACATTTAAACACTATTGTGATGAGATCAGTCTGTCAAACACAAATAAATTAAGATGGATTGATAATATTCATAAAGATAAATGGACAAGGGCATACGACAATGGGGTGCGATGAGGCCATATGATAACTAACCTCGTTGAATCAATTAATTATATTTTTAAGGGAATCTGAAACCTACCGATAACTGCCTTGGTAAAGGCAACACATTTTAGACTCGGGGAACTCTTTGATAACAGACGTACAGAGTGGGGTTCAGTATTACAATCTGATCAGCTGTACAGTAATAATTCAATGAAATTCATGAAAGACGAAGCTACCAAAGCCAACACACATGTGGTCACTATCTTTAACCGTAATAAAGGTTGGTTCAGTGTTGCAAAGTCAAGTGATCACAATGAAGGGAGGTCTAGGGGATGTTACCGAGTGGAACTGGATAGGAGTTGGTGTGATTGTGGAAAGTTTCAGACATTTCGTATGCCTTGCTCCCATGTTATAGCAGCATGTTCGAAGGCTCGCCAGGACCCAACTAACTATCTTTCATCTGTTCACCAAGTGATAAGTCTATGTAATGTCTATGACAGTAGCTTTCAGGTGGTGGCAAAGGAGGACTATTGGCCTCCATACGAAAGTGAAATTGTATGGCATAATGATTTGATGCGAAGAAAGAAAAAGGGTCGCCCTAATAGCACTCACATTCAAACGGAGATGGATGCAGCAAACAAAATGGCCAGATTATGTAGTTCGTGTCGGCAACTAGGACACAATCGAATAAAATGTCTCAATGTAGGATCAAGCACAAGATCATAGTTTCTAATTTAATCGTGTCCCTTTAAATCAACAACAAATTTCATTCCATTGATAGCATGCCTAAGCGATTACAATTAACATTTAACAGCAACATAAATTAAACAAACATAACTTAATATCAAAACAACAATCCGAAAATAACAACAACATAACCTAATATCAAAATAACAATCTAAAAATAACAACAACAAACTTACATAAAACAACTCAATGCATCAACTTGTCTAAGATATTACAACCATCAAGGTAATCTTCTTTGGTGTTAACATCATCATAAGGACACCAGTATCATTTTCCACTTTTCTCCAATCACGAGTAACTCCGTTTCTCACTGACTCATCGACTAACCACTCAATTTTCCTAATCTTTTCACCTGCAACAATATCTCCTTTTAGCCAGCGGTTCAGTTTCCTATGCAAATGCTCCAAAGTTTGCGTGTTCCACAGTAGCACCTTCATCAGAGGCTTTGTTGCTGAAAAATAAACTAGGGCATTTCTTTTCATTAGAGAAAATGTTGGAAGCGGTTTCTCCGATGATGATGACGACGACGATGAACGTTGATTTAAAAATGCAGACATTCTAGACTGATTTGAAAATTATGAAGAGTTGAGTCTATTAGTGAAAATTGTTGTGAAAAAAGATGAGTGTGTAGTCTTATTTATAAAAAAATAAAACAGTACGGGCCACATATGATATGACGTAAATACCCTTATAAGTTCATGATGAAACAAAATACAAAACAAATAATTAAAAAAAAAGGGATGTATTAAGGCGCCATACCATATGGTGCCTCCTCTGTAGGCCTAGGATTTCATTTAAAGGTGTGTTGCCATATATTATGACGCCTTGGTTTAGGAGTTTAAGTGGTGGCGCCATATGAGATGACGACTCAATTCAAGCCCACACTCATCAGCCATTTCATATGACGCCTCAATGCTTGTTTATAGTCATTTTAAAAAAAAATTGAATTCCCGGTGTATAGTGGTATTTTTTTAAAAAGTTATAGTTATTTTAAAAAAAAATTCAATAAGAGAAGATTATCAAATATTTTTTTTATTTTTTTACTTAAATGCCACGTTACCAAAATACCACTATCTAAAAATTAAATATCAAGATGCCACTATTTTACCTAGGGTTCAACCAATGGTTGGATGACCCATTTGAAGCATTTTTTGGACATGAAGAGCTTTTTTTATTTTTATGATTTAAAATATATTTATATATATTTTTATTATATTTAATATACTTAATTAATTTTTAAAAATTAAAAAATATTTTTATGTTTTAAAATATTAATAAATAAATATTAAAATAATTTCCAATAATAAATTATTTTTTAAAATATTAAAGTGGTTTAGTTGATATTTATTATAAAAATAATTAACAAAAAATATAAATGATATTCTATTATAATATTATTTTAAAAAATAATTATTTTTTAAAAATAATTTACACAATTTTTTATTATTAATTATATTATAATATATATTAAATAAAATTTTTATATTTTAAAACATTAAAAAAAATAAAAAAAAATTCTTCAATGATTCGGTCAACCATTGACCGACTTATGCATTGACGAAAAAATTCTTTAAAAGGTGGTCTAATCATTGACCAAATCTATATTAAAATAGTGACATTCTAGTATTTATTTTTTTTTTACTTGTGACATTTTAATATATATTCTTTCAAAATGGGGGTACAGTGATAAAAAAATTGGTATTTTTCACCATAAAAAAATTTTAAGTATGAAAGAAGGAGTTGACCACCCCATAATGAATTAAAAAATAAAACAATAATAATAATATTAATGTAATAACGAGAAGAGAGTCCCACGAAGGAGGGAAAATACACCGTCATGACGACAAATCTCTTTTATATTTAGCAAACATCTCACTCATTTCCACAACGCATCTCATTCTCTCTTCTTCTCTCCCCTCCATTCCTCCCTTTTTATTTTCTTTCTATTCTCTCATTTCTTCAAACCAATGAACTCACTTGATTCTAATAAATCACACACTACTGATTCTGGCCATGCTCGTCTTCACGAACTCGGTTACAAACAAGAACTCAAACGCGACCTATCGTAATAATAATAATAATAAACTCACTTTCATTTCACTCTTTTCATTTCTATCTTTTTCTTTTCTCTATAATCTTTTTTTTTTTTTTTTCTTCATTTTTCAGGGTTCTTTCCAATTTTGCGTTTTCATTTTCGATTATATCAGTGTTAACTGGAGTAACCACACTTTACAATACTGGTTTGAATTACGGAGGTCCTGTTTCGCTTGTTTATGGATGGCTTATAGCTTCCGCTTTCACCATGCTTGTTGCTTTGTCAATGGCGGAAATTTGTTCTTCTTATCCGACTTCCGGCGGACTTTATTATTGGAGTGCTAAGCTTGCTGGTCCGAATTGGGCACCTTTTGCTTCCTGGATTACTGGATGGTAAGTTACTACTATATATATATACTACTTTTCTATTGTTGTTGTTATTGTTTCTCTGTTCATCTTCATGTTCCTACCTAACTCATTTTGTTTTTATCATTTAGCCCTATCTCAATTCTTAGTCATGTTTGAATTTTAGTATATTGGAGAAATTCTAACACGGAACAAAGTGGTCCACTGTGGACCAGTACTTGAAAAAATGTTGAAAATTAGGCACGAATAGATTTCGTGTAGATTTCGTCAAGTTTTTTTTCTTCTAATATTTCTAATCTGGATTCTGACTTAGAGGCGTTTGTCATAAAGGTTTCGTCTATTTGAATTAGAATTTAATGATTATCTTTATTTTTATCATTGAGATAGTTTAATAGATACTTTGTATGTGTTTGGTATTGAGAAATCACATTGAAATATCACTTTAATGTGTAAGCTATGATTTTGAGCTTCTTACATCAAGTTGAGAAGTGCGTTGAGACGCAAAATTGGCAGTTGAAACGGTTATCCATGATGATGAGAAGGATCGGCAGTTGAAACGGTTATCCATGATGATGAGAAGGATCGTGAGGTGTTATTAATGAAGAGTATCGTCAATAGTCCTTACGAGATTTATGATAGTTTTTAGTGCTGATATACGGGTGGTCCAATGTAGAACTTACCTAATTATAAGGGCAATTTCTAGGGTGGAAAAATGTTAAATGTGGTCTACCTTGGATTAATGCTTGAAAATTGCTCAAATTTCCAACAAAACCTTTAAGTAAAAGTTGGGGTCCATCATTTTCTAATGGCTTAAATAATATGGTGTTTATGTAAGTTGGGTTTTGAGATATTTATATTTGTTTTTCTTATATTTTGCTGAGTTGGTTTTGACTTTTGATACTGGTTGTGTCATTACAAAGAAATGGTGTTTCAGTTCATACTAATTACAGGTAATTCAATTCATAGGATTAAAACACCATTTGTAATGTTCTCCACAACAGAGTGGAATATCCAACACCAAGTTTGAAATGGTGTTTTTATCTGATATATACTATTCATTGGTGGTTGGTTGGTAGCATTCACCTACCACCATTCTATTTAGAGTTGTGCTATATCTTCCTCCTACTAATTTTATTCTTCAAAGATATTTCTTGTGTTGTTTTAGCTCTGGAATGTTTCATTTCAACAAGTTGGTCACCAGAATTGTAAACTAGCAAACATGTTGACTGTACTAAAGTTGTTAATTTGCCAACAAACTCATCCCTTGGTGGACCAACTTGTGCAGATCAAAATAATAATAGTACTTGTATCTTTCATGGTCTTATCACTCTTGAAGTGCTCAATGTAGTAATAAATGAAAGAGTAAATGCATGTCTTGCGAAATTGAAAAACATCAATGTTGGAACAAACTTCATTTTTTTTTATCTATGTATGTTTCTGTTACCAAATGTCTTACTTGACCATTCAAAAATGTAGTTTACATCTTTAATCACCCAAATTAACACCTCTAAACTACATCTTAATGGCTGTTATGAACTTATGATATCTAATCCATTAAAATTAACATGAATTTTTTACTTTTCATCTAAAATTGTGACTTCATTGTTGTCAGCGAGGGTCTAATTGTAATGCCGAGTACTGAACCATTCTTTTTAATATTTTAATATATCATTCAATGATCATGTATACAAATTTATAATAGAAGTGCACTTAGAATGAAAAATACTTCAATAGTCTCAATATCTTTAATGATACAAGACTAATTTGGGACAAAATAAAGCTAAAGAACATGTTCTTAACCAACAAGCAGTATTTCATATGTTAGTTTTTTAGGTTAATTAGGTTAATTAGGCGTCAAGACGAGTAACAAAATACACTGCTAGATTTGCTTTCCTACAGAAAATTTTCTGATTTGTGTTGGATGGTTTCTCCTTTTTTTCGCAGGTTCAATATTGTTGGTCAGGTATTCTCATGCAGATAAATATTCTAGAGTATTAGCATCCTTCAGTTTTCACTGCAAAGTCAAACTCGTGTGGAATGTAGGTTTCTGATAACTCAATTCACTCTTAACTTTTAATTTCTTTTCATTTGCAGTGGGCAGTGACAACAAGTGTAGATTTTTCACTTGCACAGCTTATTCAGGTTATCGTTCTTCTTAGTACTGGTGGCAAAAATGGTGGCGGTTATGAAGGATCTAAATATGTAACTATTGCTTTACATTGTGGAATTTTGGTCCTACATGGTATAATAAACAGCCTTCCAATTTCATGGTTATCGTTCTTAGGCCAGTTGGCTGCTTTCTGGAATGTTTTAGGTACGAAGAAAAGAAACTTCCTTTTTAAGCTTTCTAATGTAAATTCAGTACTCTAAGGTAACCCTGTGGACACATTTATAGGTGTTTTTGTGCTTATGATTGTCATTCCATGTGTTGCACCGGAAAGAGCTAGTGCCAAATTTGTTTTCACTAACTTCAATAGCGACAACGGGGCAGGAATCAGTAGTAAACCCTATATATTTCTCTTGGGACTTCTAATGAGTCAGTACACCCTAACAGGATATGATGCATCAGCTCATATGGTATAATATCGGTTTTCCTCAGACTTTGTTGTCTTGAAAAACATTTAGAATTTTCCTTTGAAGGATCGAAGTTTTACTAAATGATTTGGACTAAAATTTCGTCGGTATTTTCAGACAGAGGAAACAAAGGATGCTGATATAAATGGACCAAAAGGAATTATCAGTGCTGTTGGGATATCTGTTATTGCTGGATGGGGTTACATACTAGGAATCACCTTTGCTGTTACTGACATTCCTTACCTTTTGGATGAAAATAACGAAGCTGGTGGATATGCCATTGCTGAAGTATTTTATCTTGCATTTAAGAGAAGATTCGGCCATGGAGTTGGTGGAATTATTTGCTTGGGAATTGTTGCTGTTGCTATATTTTTCTGTGGTATGAGTTCAGTTACAGCCAATTCAAGGTAACAATGCCAGATGTTAGCAAGTTTTTCATAAAAGAAGAGGGATTAAATTTGTATAGTTACTTATTATGGTTACAATTTTTACAGAATGGCTTATGCTTTCTCAAGAGACGGGGCCATGCCATTGTCGTCTTTGTGGCATAAGGTTAACAAACAGGAGATCCCCGTAAATGCAGTTTGGCTTTCTGTTTTGATATCTTTTTGCATGGCACTACCGGTATGTATTCGTTATCAGATTTCATTTTTAGTATGTTTCAAATTTAAGTGTTCTCTGATATGTGTTTGTTCAATTATTTTAGCTCAAACCAATTCATACTAGCCATAGCCATAATTCATACCACTATTCTATTCTTTCCATGTTCTAACTCAATTCAAACTCTATTATCACGCGCAGTCTCTTGGAAGTATAGTGGCATTTGAGGCCATGGTGTCCATAGCAGTGATTGGCCTCTACATTGCATATGCAATACCTATCTTCCTCAGAGTGACCTTGGCGCAGAAGCGGTTTATTGCAGGGCCTTTCAACTTGGGTCATTACGGAGTCATTGTTGGTTGGATTGCAGTTATTTGGGTGGCAACAATCTCTATACTATTCTCATTACCTGTTTCATATCCAATAACCATTAAGACACTTAACTACACACCTGTTGCTGTTGGATGTTTGCTTATTATTGTACTTGCTTATTGGTTATTCAGTGGTAGGCATTGGTTTAAAGGCCCTATAACCAATATACAAAAGTGAACTTGTCTGTACATATTTAATCTAGTGAATTATAAATAAACGTTGTTCGGAACTTACTTCCTCCGTTTTTTATTATAAGTCACTTTGGCATTGACATGAATGTTCTGCTGGGTTCACAAGGTATATGGGAGATTGAGGAGAAATGTTATGATGAGTCATGTTAAACTTCATTAACTAATTATGTTTATTAGGTGATTAGTTATAGGTTATAATTAGTTAATATATGTATAATGACTTGGTAGTTGTATAAGAACATTAGATTTAGAGGTCTGAGTTCGAATCCGCAACATCTCACTTGCTCATCTTTAATACGGTGGGTTCCAGCCACTAGACTACTAAAAAATGTAGTTATTTTATAGATTTTTAGTTATGACTTTACTTGTATTAGTTTTTAAGTCGATTAATATATATTTTTTCAACTTCATTTTTGTTCTATTCTGTCTTTTAGCATCATTTTCATTTATGGAAATATTGCATTTTTTAAGTGTCAAATAGACAAGTTGTAACAAGTTACAAGATGAAGATGACGAGTGGTTGTCCCAAATTGAGAAAGAGGTTTTAGAAAAGACAAGAAAGAAGGATCAACAAGCTATCACCCACATTGATTAACGTTTGGATAATTCAATGTTTTAGAAATGCTTTCACTGCTATTAATTCAAAGGGTGCTTTGGAGATTTTGGAGAGTTAACAAAGTGAAGAAGATAAGACTTCAATCTCAAGGGGAGATTTTAAAGTTATAAAGATGTGGAGTTTCTTAATGTATTCTCTATGTTTTTTATCTACCACACAAAAATATATAAATGTTTTTAGATTTTGAAGATGTATTTTCGAACGGACCAAAAGTTCAGTTAACGTTGAAATATTTCCAAAATATTTTTGAGGTTAAAGCGCGTCAGACCATTTTCCTTCCTCATTTCTCATTTTGCTCAAAACTAATTCAAACTCTCAAATTTTTTCTCATCACCAAATCAAAAATTAATCAACAAAGTTTAATGAAACTTCAATTAACATCATAAACATCATCCAAAATTGAAGGAAAGTTGAAATTTGTAAGTTTTTTTGGGTTTTTATAAGGTTTTGAGTTTTTGTGTAAATGAGTAGAAATTGATGATTATAGTTAGAAATTAGTAGAAATTGCATGTATAATAGTTTAGACATAGTGCATTACACGTTTGTTGGCTGAAAAGAATGATCAAAACATTTTTTTAGAATTGCATGGGGTACACCCTACTTCCTGACTCAATAATTAATAAACAAAATATAATTCTATCCAAGTAGGATGTCACTTTACAATTTAAGAAGTTTGAATGTTATTTTCTTTAATAAAAAATCTTAGTCCAAATAGCGAAATTAAACAAAAGTATGACATCCATAGCCTCAACAAATTATTCACACCAAAAGTGGTTCAATAATTATTTTAAATTAAAAGATACGTAACAAAATAACTAGGGGTGGCAAAACGGACCCGGTCCGTTGGGCATGTCCGTTTTGCCAACACTTTAGTGCGGGACATGACAAAGATTTAGGCTTTCAACCTCTAATACATCCACTCCATTTTCTTCACGGGTTTTTGCGGACATGATCATTTACATAAATTTGTGTTTTTAGACTCTAAAGATGCAAGGCCCACGGGTTTTCTCTGCCCCACCCTCACTTTTTTCGGGGGGGCATGACCGTTTGTCATCCTTAAGACTAACATAAAGAAAATAGCTCGTTCCCCGGTATTACGTATCAAAGCAACTTCACTAGTAGACTCGACCGATAGCATCATGAGATACATCTTCAACTACTCAGGTATCTGATTGTCTGTACTCCGAGGGATCACATACACAATAAACACAAAAAGGGTAAGAAATTCTTTCATATAATAAATGGTGTATAATAATTAAGAAAGTAGTATTTATACACACAGATCACGTTCACTCACAATCACATTCTCACCACAACAAATGTACAAGCACAACATAATAATAATTCAATGAGACCCAACTACATTACACAATGCATATGGTACCAATTCTCATCAATGGTTCATCATACGAACCCGATTCCCCCTTTCAAAATCCCGAACTCCCCCTTATGAGTTCCGCATAAGTCTTTCGTCCCCCTTTGGACCTATGACTTATCTCCTTCAACATATCAACAATGAATGCATGACATGGTAATAATGCAATTAACATAATAATTAAAATAATATTTAGTGATCCACAATCAATTACACAATTTCAACCATGCTTAACGTAATCCACCCTTCTGAACTACCACAAATATAATCAAACACACCATCTCAATCATTCACAACACATCAAGTAATTTGTCAATACGGATCTCATTCATATTCGTCACCTCATACACTTCTTTTCCACCTGTTACCGACCTCTGATAAAATCACCAAAAATATTTTATCCCTGAAACAAAGTTATAGCCCTTTGTTTTAGCTACCCAAAGCATCAAACCCCATCCCAAATTGATTTACGAGTTGAAAGTTATGATCAAAACCGTGCACAAAGGCGTTACTAAAAAGTTGTTATTTTTCTGAATTTTCCAGCACAATTATTTTGAAATTTCCAGCATAATTTTCATCTTCATCATCTTGATAATAAATCAAAAAATATTACGCCATTGTAAACATCAACCATAAAACTCAAAATCGAAGACATAAAATTGAGATAATTCATAAGTATCAACATGGTTAAATATCCATAAATCATCATAATAGTAAGTAAAATAAACATAAATATCCAAATAATAAGAAATTTTGATGTCTAAAAAATTTCCATTGATATAGTCAAATTTGACTCAAAAGAAACTACCACACAACTATCCCTTTTTTTGCTTTAATGCAACTATTTCTTCTCCAATTTGATGCATTTCTTCTTTTTGGTTGACAATAATTCCCCTTCACATAACTTCTTCAATGTCATTGAATCAATATCACCTTCATCGACAAACCTTTTCACACTTGTGGTCGGTGTCAATGGTACATGATTAAGCTTAGAACTCACTTCAAGGTCCTGTCATGAATACAGATAAAATAAAAGACAACATAGAAAATGAGGTACGTACATGAAATTATATTTGCTGGAAAAATTTTAAAACTTAATGTCATTACATCCCATTCTTCAACTATTTTTTCCTCATCAACACTCTCCTTTATCTAGAAAAGACATTGTATAATAAATCAATGATGCGTGATATACAAAAACCATAATATATATTAAGTGTAATAAGTTATAATTTGATTATTTATACCTTCATTACTTGTAGTGTGAGAATGAATTTTGGAAATGGCTGATTAAATCTAAAACAATAACTTAATTTGATCAATATGTTAAAAATTAAAAAAAACACAACTGAAACAGAATTAAATTTAATTACCAAGACAACATCACAGTGACATTGCAGAATCAAATTTAATTATCGAAGAAATGTGACAACAGAAGAACTACCCCACCATGGTTGGCACTTCACTATAAAAGCCAATTTCAATCCCAACATAGAGTCCAATTTGAGAGGAAACTCAAGTGAATTTGTCACTCCGGCCTAAAAAGATAAAATCACCAACATCAAAATTGAGTACAAAACAAATTTGATATGGAATGTTGATTTATATTTCATTAGATTTAGCAGAGAAAATTGGCAAGTCTTTTCAAACTTGTTGTGGGTGTCAATGGTTCGGGATTAAACTTAGAACTTGCTTAAAGGTCATGTCACGAATACAAATAAAATAAGAGAAAACATAGAAAGTGAGGTATGTACATGAAATTATATTTGCTGGAGAAATTTAAAAACTTACCGTCACTACATCCCATTCTTCAGTGACATTTTCCTCAAAAACACTCTTTTTTTATCTATAAAAGACATTATATAATCAATCTACATAGCACGATATACAAGAACCATAATATATGGCAAGTGTAATGAGTTACAGTTTGATTGTTTATACCTGCATTACTTGTGGTGTGAGAACAAATTTTGGAAATGGCTTTTTTAAGGTAAAAGCATAAATCAATTTGATCAATATGTAAAAAAATTTAAAAACAACATAACTGAAACAAAACCAAGTTTAATTACTTCAACATCATCGTAGGGACCTTACTGTTCCTTGATTAGTTTTTCATACCGAAGGAATATGAAAACAGAAGAACTACCCTGACATGGTAGCCACTTCACTTTAAAAGCGAAAACAGAAGAACTACCCTAACATGGTATGGTAGCCACTTCACTTTAAAAGTCATTTTCAATCTCAACATAGAGTCTAATTTGAGAGGAAACTCAAGTGGATTTGTCTCTCCGTCCTAAAAAGATAAAATCACCAACATCAAAATGGAATACAAAACAAATTTGATACGAAATGTTAATTTACGTTTCATTTAATTAAACAGAGCAAATTGGCAAGCCTTTTCACACTTGTCGTCGGTGTCAATAGTTCAGAACTAAGCTTATAACTGACTTCAAGGTCCTGTCACGAATACAGATAAAATAAGAGACAACATAGAAAGTGAGGTATGTACATGAAATTATATTTGTCAGAGAATTTTAAAAACTTACCGTCACTACAACCCATTTTTCAACAAAATTTTCCTCTTACACACTCCTTAATCTATAAAAGACATCATATAATGAATCTACGTAACGCGATATACAGAAACCATAATATATAGTAAGTGTAATGAGTTACAGTTTCATTGTTTATACCTCCATTATTTGTTGTGTGATAACAAATTTTGGAAATGGCTTATTTAAGGTAAAAGTATAAATTAATTTAATCAATATGATAAAAATTTCAAAACCAAAACAACTGAAACAAAATCAAATTTAATCATCCGAACAACATCGCATGGACCTTCCAACTCCTTGATTAGTTTTTCATCCCAAAGGAATGAGACAACAGAAGAACTACCCCAACATGGTTGCCACCTCACTTTAAAAACCATTTTCAATCCTAACATAGAGTCCAATTTGAGAGGAAACTCAAATGGATCTTTCATTCTGGCCTA